CACTTCTCATGGGAAAAAAAGAAGTCTATGTTCAGTTAGTGGTACAAATTAGAGAAGAAAATACAACCTTGCTCACAATCCCTGTTCCTTCAGGACAGGGACTGGGACAAAAAAAAAGTGATCCTCGTCATTCCTGAGGGGTTCCTAGGCTGCTCTCCTTCCATAATACTAACTCTGGTCTTTTAGATTCACGAATCTGCCCTACGAGCAAAGAACAGGAGACAAGTGGAGAAAAGGAAGCTTTCTCAGAGGCGAGTGCGATCAGCAGAGGCAGAAAACACTTGGCGAACAAAGCCCTCCCCAGCAGACAACCCCTGGATGACAGAGTACATGAGATGCTACTCAGCAAGAGCTCTCTGAACCTGGATTCCCTTAGGCATCCTCAGAAGAAGTCACGCATATCAGGACACTGGTGCAAGTAACCAAACCACTTATGCAAGGTTTTTATAGGGAGTTTCCAGCTGTTAAAGTATTTGTTACAATGTTTTTATCTCGGCTACCTACCTCACAGCGGGGTGTATCCTTGGAGCCATAACATTTGAAGAGGCTTTTAGATATAACTACCCAATCTTTTAAACAATTCCCCTTTTGGGAATTTTTCTAATGCTTCGGTTAGCTTGTTTTGAGGGTGGGAGGGGAAACCTTAGCATACAGGGAGTCAAAGCAAATGCTTTTTCAATCATGGTTGCAAATAATCTGTTTTCCCTTATTTAAAGTTCAAGTCATAGGGAGATGGTACTGGGGAAAGACTTTAAAGGAGTGATGGAGGTGCCTTTGTATTTATAAAACTATTTAACACTTTTATGAAAATAAGTGTATGAAGACAGGCAACAGGAAGCCAGTGTATCTGGGAACTAGCACTAATAAATGTAGATGCTTTAGGCAGGCAAATACCAAGTATTGTCTGCACACAGAAACTTTAAAAACAACAACAAAAAACCCCAAACAAAAAACAACATTGTTTGATTAGTGAATCTGCTGATGCTAACTTTTATCACTGTTTCTAAGGTCATTAGAATGAATCACTCATTTTCAGGGCAAGAAACAGCTACAGGATCATTTTGCTGTAGCTGTTCCTGTTGTACCAAATAACTAATGTAGACAATCATTATCTGAGAGCTGCCACTCAATAAGCAGTTACTTGTTCTACAAATATAGAGCTGTACCACTGTACGAACCTCGTGGTCACACTTAGTCTGTACTTAATCATGTAAATGCATTTACTGAAGGAGAGGGCTGGCTCCTTTCTGGTGAGGTCTATTTTTAACACTTCAGAGTATCTATTATGCTCAGTGGGGGTCAGAGTGCAATATGCATTCTGCCTGGAGGTATTGTACAAGTATATTGTTAAAGGGTTTAAACTTGAAATTGTGTTGATAAAACTTGTAGATGATGTCCTGAGAAACTTGCTGCCTCTTGCAATTGGTGAAGAGCCCCTCACTGATAGGGGGATGGTGAGGAGGTAAGGGCTAGGGAAAGGAGGGGTGTACCCTTTAGTAAACAAGAACATATAATGAAGTTTGAACATTTTTGTTTTGTAGGTCCTACTTCTACATAGTAAGACAGTCATTGTGATATCCTTGGTGGTTTTGTTTCCCTCAGGTGGCTGTAAATTATCTTTTTTTTTTTTTTTTTTTTCAGTTTGCTAACTATGCTTTAGGCAGATGATTGCTGTAGTTGTGAGCTTCAAAGTTTTGTTCAGATGTGTTGTGTGTTAGTTACATATGTTGGTTATTTCAGTTTAATTGTTTTGAAGCTTGTGTTTTTACAGGCTGGACACATTCCCATGGGAAGCATACTTGCACTTTTAGAGCAGAAATCTGCACTAGTTTTAGCTTCATTCCACAATCTCAGTGAGTAAGGAGGACTCCAGAATTACTATTACAACAGAGTACACATGCTTAATGAAAAGTCTGACTGTGTTCTTGAAGAAAGTAATTGTGCAAAAGGGTCCAAGCACTGCTGCCTCTTAGTGTCCACTACGTCTCTAAAGGTTTCATTACTCACAATTTTAATTTTGTTAAAACGTCCTAGAATCCATGAGATTATAACCTCTTTTTTGTTTAACCTGCCTTTTACACATAAAGGTATGAAAATACAGACCACTCTTGTTCAAGGCTACCTACTTAAGGTCTTACAAGTTTTAAGTTTGGGAAAGCACAGCATGATTAGGAATGTTTTATATGCAGCAAGGAGATTTTGACTGCTAAGTAAACCATAGGCCAGAACTTCCTGAAACTTTAGAACAGTGCCCAAAACTGGGAAAACTACTCCAGAGAATGCCTTTATTCCATATGAGATTCTTTTGATTTCCTTTTATGCTGTGTTTTCCTCTTTAAATAACTGCTGTAAATATGCTTAGCTTGCTTCTGATGCTGTTGCAGTTCCAGAAGCCACCCAAGCTTTGCACAGCAGTGTCAAAGCACCAACTCAGTAGTGTTTAACAGCCTTATTCAATAAAAACTTGCCTGTTCCTGCTGCCCACATACTTTGTAGGTTTTATGTAACCACAGCAGACGGATTGTGCCCTCAGTGCATTTTGTCACATTCAACAGTTTCCTTGACTGTGTAGGGCAGGACTCATCTTGCCATGCTTTTGAAGATAGCTTCTACAGTCCTCTCTTCTCATGGGGAATGGAAGAGCCAGGATGACTATGTGCCTGTCTTAAGTACCTGTGTTTGGATAAGATGTTTCTCCCATTAGGTGTTGGTGTTTTCAATTAATTATAGGAGGCCAAAGTGTCTTCTGCCTTGGATACTGGGAACTAAACTTAAAATATCTCCAACAGGCCTGTTCAGGTCTTCAAATGAGAATTTTCAACAGCATCAAGGCTCCTGTACACTGAGGAAATTGTATAGTCCTAAAATCCTTGTCTGGTCAGGAGCTGTTCCCCACAAAGACGACTTACTAAAAGACAGCAGATACACTAATAAGGTCTTGTGAGTCATTGTTGTGCTTTTTCAAATGGTCTACAGCCAAAACAATCCTGGGTGCTATGTTGGTACTATCTGGGCTTAAGTAATACAATACCTGAATGAGGGGTAAATTATTCTGCAAATCAGGTAGCCTTCCTCCATTTGGGTATTAATTGACTATAAAGCTACTATTTTGCTTAGACTATATGAAATAGTATAGTTTTGATCACTGCAAGCTCTGCGTGTGAAGTATTTGGTCTGGAAAACTGCTCGTGCTTTGATGTTAACAAATGAAAAGCCAATTGCATTGTAAAGCAGAACTTTTCAGGTGTAAAAGCTTTAAGTGTATTCCATAGATTCCTACAGGAGGTGGCCATTTGCTTCAAATTGGACTCACTGGAAAGTAGAAAACCTAATGAATGTCTCTCGATCAATTAGGGAATTTCTAAACATTGTCTTGCATGGTCTCTTGAATTCAGCAAAGTGGTGAACACTTCTCACTCCTATTTTACAAGTAAAACTTTTTGGTAAGAACACAGTAAATACTCAATTGTCCAAAGTCTTCATTAAAATGACTGTTTATTCCTTTGTTTCTGGAAGTACTTAGCTAAGTGAAGCAAGAGTTTTACAATGTGTAATGCTGCAGTTCAACTATAGTGTTGTGAAGACTAGTGTTTACAGTGTAAAATGTTACCATGAAAATTGCATAAGAATGTCCTGTAAAATACAGTAGCATGCTTGTTCAGTCACTGCTGTCTCATCTTTGCAACTACGAAATACAGACTTTTTCACAGGAAGCTGAGATAATAGTCAAGGTGATAGCTAAGCTTAGAGCCAACCTTAATAAAACTGAGGAACAGTTTCTGGTAAGAATTTTATCCAGGTAGCACATGCAAATTTACATTGAAATTTTAACACATATGTAAAGTGTTCTCATTTTTTATGGCATAATGTAGTGCCACTGAACTATAAAGGCCTCTCTGACTTTTTTTTTTCTAACTGTGATAGGGACCAAAAATGCTAGCAATCTGAGGGCCTAATGTATGGTAACCTGGATGTTCCAGTTTCCTTTCCAGCTCAGTTAGTGCACTCAGCAGCAAAGCCATAAATGGAGCCTGACTCAACACCTTGACAAGTAGCCCCACGAAACTGGGGTACAAGTGAATGGGAAGCTGCCTCAGCTATTGTTAGCACTGAATTCACTTTAAAAACAATAGGGAAATGCCATCTAAGCTTGAAGCAATATGTGTTTTTTAAAGTTTTTAAACAGTATTTGTTTTTAATGCTTCTGTACTGTCTATTTTAATAGTGTAGTGTCAACTTGTACATGTGAATAAAATCAGTGATACAAAGTGCCTGGACTGCTGGTACTGTGCTTTTTGGGATCTCAGATTTTTTTTTTTTCCCCCTCTTACAGGGTACTTTAGTCCCTGCATGCAAACTGTGGCTTCTGAATGTGACAGGCTTCTGTAATGACTAAGGTTGGGTATGAAGTTACATTACAGTTACCATTCCAGCCTCTTATGTTCCTCTGGTAACTCTCCCAGAGATTCTTAACATCCTTTCCTAACCTGAATCACTGTTTTTCCCTTACTATCATAAGAAAAAAACCCTCACCTGTACTAGGTATCTTAAATGCTATGCCTTTGAGAATATAAATGTAAAGCTTTGGAGGAAAAAGTGATACAGCCTCCTGTTTTCTCTCTGTTATCCTATGAACAGGTACACTCATGCCAACAGGAAAAATTAAGCTTTTAAAAGCTGGCTACACTGAAGTTCTCTATGCCATGGGTTCTTCAGTAAATGAATGCGACTCTTTTTACTGAGAATTTAAAATGTATTTCTTGAGATTTTTATAGTGTTAATTCTTCCAGCATATAAAATATAATGGAAATTATGTACAGACTAATCAGATTTTTCTATGGTATTGGCTTTTTATAGGTTTTAAGGGAACTCATGAGCAATACCTATTTGAATACAAAGAAAGGATAAGATGAGGCAACTGTGAATCCTGTGTGAGTGGCCCAACAGTCATGTTATTGACTTCACTTAACAGACAAAGCTTGTACAAGTACACAGGATCTACTGGAAGAAAATCAAGGAAGATTCTTTATTTGGTGCTAGATACAAGCATTAAATGAAATACTGTAGGCCAACAGACTCATTAAAGGCAAGACACAGGCTTTAATAAGACATTTAAATCTCTTAATGGGCTGAACAGCTAAAGCTTCACATCCAATGAAACCTCACATATATTTGTGGTATTTCATGTAAAACTCCCACCCATCTTGCTTTGATAAAGTAAAAATTTTACCCTGAAAACATACATAGCCTATTTATGACTTACTGTTCAGGTGAGCTAGATGTCAACTATAATGCTAATGCTTGAAATACACTCCAGGGCTGATATTGGCATGATGTTTATTTTTAGAAATAATAGACTCTCAGAAGAGCAACAGTAAACAGTAGAGTTTGCACTGCTGAGAGCTATTGCTTGCAACAGTATTTCTCTAAGAAGTTGCAATTTTAGAAAATTTCTTTTTAGAATGTCAGCAAGATATGCAGCATAAAAGGCTGAGATACTACAAAACATGCACATTAACCAGGTTAATGTGTATACAGTGGGAGTATACATTAAAAAATGGTAAAAACATGTCCAAACTCATTATAATGACACTAGTCTTTCCTTCCAGGGAGGAAGGGGACAGCTTTAAGACAGTTACTGAAAGAATAAAACTGCTTACTGCTTTTTAAACCAGAGACACTTGACCAAAATGATCATAAGAACCAAGTATAAAAGAGGCCCTGTATGTAAAAGGGACAGAAAGTAGAAGAAAACTCCTGTGAAACCCCTGAAATTTCTATTTATTAGCAACAGTCCTCTGCTCCTTTCAACTGCTACTGTAATAAGAGAAAGAGGTTTTGATCAATAAATAGCCAACACCCCTTCCACCATTCTAACAGTGTCAGAAGAACAACCTTCAGCTCTGCTTGTGCTGTGTCAGTGCTAGGCTTTTATCAGTGTGCCAAGAAACCTGATTGGGTTGTGGAATGGCATGTGGTGGAATAGACCACCCAGTACCTCATCTTTTCTCAGTGTTCCAGAACTGTTTTGGGGGTTTTGGAACCAACAGCCTCCTCAGCTCTGGGGGGTAACACATCCCAATTAATAACTGGCTATTTGGACTGGTGGAGACCGCTCCATCCAACTTCCTACTCCAGAGGACTTGCTTTTGGTAAGTATTTGCAGTGCTGAAAGCCAAACTGATCTGAGAATTAAGACAGGTAAGCTTCTTTGGAGTTCTCTGATGTTCTTGAGAATACAATTATGCTGCTTCAAAAAATACTTCACACTCTTACGAGGAAGAGACTGCCTTTGGGAATAATTGTTATCAGTTCTGTAACAAATCCAATCCTAAATACAACAATCAGAGGAGTGACACAACATGAAAGTTCTTGGACCCAACAGCCTAAACCCAGGCTTTTCAAGTACAAAGCATGCTTAATTCCATTTAATTCAGAAACAACCCAAGGTGCATACTTTTCAGATAAGCATCTATTTGAACCAAAAATTCAGGACAAAGGGAATAAACAGAAGTCTAATTTCATGAAAGATGGTATAGCTCAGTGTAGCATTCTTGCTCTGCTCTTGTGCTTTAACTTGCCTTTTCCAACTTGACTATCAGGATACAGAAGTATGGGTCATAACCACATGTTAAGAATTGATCCTGGCAACAGCTTGTTGGAATGTGGCCAACTGAGTAGGAAAAAATAAACCAACAACCTCTCACTGACAGTTGCCAGTGGTTTTATAATTCTGGTTGTAAATACAAACTATTGTGCAACAAACGTGACAAAACCTACCTCAGTTAAATTTGTTTATATGATAAAAAAATAAAATATTAAACTGCTTATAGTGCAACATTCTAATAGCATACATAAGTATACCATGCTTTGTAAATTTACTGTTACATTATTTACAGTACATTGCAATGCTTTAAACTAGAGGTGAAAGAACAAAAACAGGTAATGGAAAACATTTACATACAGGTATAAGCCTTAATATTGTCCAGCAAACTATCCAGTTCACTTTCCAGACTTCTGTGTTGTGCACATTCCTGCCCCCTACCACAGGACACCTTTCTGTCAGTGGTCTGCTCTGTTTGTAGGTAGCGGAAAGATGTTTTTAAAAACTGCATAGCCTTCAAGCTTTTCTGTTTCTTCAAACATCATTTGCAAGGACAGCTATAAAATATGTAAGAACTCTATTAATTACCCATAACTGATCAATCTGAAAACTAAGCTCTTGAAATAAGATCAATAAATTTTCATTTCTGTAGGGCCATACCAAAGCTGAACTTTAAATCCCTTTTCTAGCAGTGTCTTAGTTGAAGAATGGAATTGTATGAGAGGAAAGCAGTTTAGGGATTCATTATTTAAAATTCTGGGCTTTAAGTGGGGGCTAAGCTCCCAGAACACAGGAAAAAAAAATATGAGAATGTAGAATTATGTGCTGCCTTATTTAATATTCCATAAAGCTTCTGCTGTGTGCACTACTCAAGCTGATGAATGAATACAGTAAAAGTGATGCAGTAACTATGCCTGCAGTACTTATTTGATATCACTGTCCTTGTACTAGAGAAATAATTATTAATTAAAGCAGAATAATTAACTACACAGGGAGAAAGGACTGCCCTAAGAGCCACTGCATACTGCAAAGAGTTATGTAAAATCCAGTGACTGTTGAGAAGTGTCTTAAGACAACTGTCTTCTAAACATAAGCAAGACTAATCACAGAGCTGTTCTTAGGAGTTTATGTGACTTATGTCTCTTCTCCTACAACTGCTGAAGGGAAAAATTCTTTCCTCACTTTCTTTGAACAACACCTTTGGAAGAACTTTAGAATACTGCAACCTATTTCCTAGGCTGCAACAGCCCCAGAAGAACGAACTACTTTAGATGACAACATTGCTTAAGCAACAAATAACTACTCTTCTTTACATTTCTGCTTATAGCAGACAGGAATCAGAATAAATTCAGGCTGCTTTTAGGTAGGGCAAAAAAATCAGAGGAAGTTTGAAATTTAGTGCTGTTTTTAATTTTTGAGTCTCAGTGTTTAAGCCTCATTTTCAGACAAGACTTTATAATAGCTTACGACAAGATACTGTACCATACATTTTGTGAATGCTTACTTGTACTAATGTTTGTTCCCAATGCAACAGAACTGATTCACTTTCTCTACAGTGCATTAGGTAGCTATTAGGCCTATAATGTGTTTCAGGAATAGAGAATTTTAAAATGTTTTCCCCAGCATTACTCAGATTAAGCTAAGATTTAGAAATACTTCACTAAGAGCCCTAGTCTTCCCAGCGTGAAAGAACAAAGACCAAAGTATAAAAACACCAATCCATTGCACTGTGCATTATTTCAATAGATTCTCTGTAACTTACAGGCTAACTGGGAAAAAGGCAAGCACACAATACAGCACATTTACGAAATATGCTAGTTTGCCCACCACCCCAAGACTTTTTTAGCCTTACCTTCTGTATCTAAAGTAAGTATTTGGGATTTTGTGTTTTATTTCTCTAACACCCACAGTCTTGAGCACTTTGTGCTTGTGCTCTGCGTGGTGACCTCAGCTGTCTCAAGGCAGCATCTCCATACTGAATACCTGAGCCCATTCTTTCTGGATCCAATTCTCCTGATGAGAAACAAAATAGTCACAAGAACATAGGTCATGTGCAAATAATACATTCTAAATTAACCATTAACATTAGATTAAAGAAAAAGCATAATTATATTCTGATCTATTTATGGAGAGATTATCTCAATTCTGTCTGCTTTTAGGCAATTTCAAACCTAAATAATTTTCTCCTCTAATTTAACCATATGCCCTTGATCATGATGACAAAGCAATGTCTCAGAGTTAGGCTGCAAACAAGAAATGCATGTGCACTACCTTGAGCAAAAGAAAGGTCTAAAATGTTTTCTGTGAATACAGTTAAAAACTTCCTGCTTTCAGAGCTTCATAAGCAAAGAAAACAGTACTGTAGGTACCAAGCCAAACAAAAATGGATCAATCTGATAGAAGGATTCTGAAAAGAACTGCTCCCCAGGGAAAATGATCAACCAAGCTCTGGTATACACTTCTGCCTACTTCACACCCTTTGTCTTCAGAACTGTTCTTATGGTTGTATGGTGGTCTAGCTGAGAGAGACCTCCACAATATCCTTATAGTCTCCATTTTTACATGATTCAATGGATGTGTGCTGGCACAAAAAAAAAGCCGGAGCAGTACACAAAAAATAAGACTTAATTCTGTGGTTGCAGTGCCTCTTTAAAGCAGTCATCAAACTACAGTATCATGAAAAACTAGCTATACTTTCTTTTTTCATTTGGGTTTTGGGTTTGTTTAGGTTCTTTTTGTTTGTTTGTTTAAAATGAAAGCTGCTGTTTGGCATTGATTTGATGCAGTAATCAGAAAATTCTTTTGAACATATAATATCATATCATTTTAATCTAAGAATTTGTGTTTGGCATAGGAAACATGTAATTAGAATCCAAGACATACTTTTCAATATGGCCAATACTTAAAACTTTAAGATATCAAGCAGCTAGAAAAAAAGAAATACTGGAATGCAAATTAGCTGTAATGATATCTAGCACACAGGAGCCTGTCTCCAGCAGAAACCTGCCCACTTGTGTTGAGAAGCTTCTGGTATATTTCTAGATCTGCAAAAGGAAAAATTATTTCAGCTGAGAGGCAGAGAGGTCACTTCGGAGAAAGAGTTGCTAGGAAACATCCCTGAAATGTTTAGTATTACTGTTCATGCTCTCTTGACTGTATTTCCCGTTACACATGAGAAGCAGAATTTAAGTTATGACTGCCCTGATATTAGGTTTTTATTCTGGACTACAAAAACTGTCTAACATCAGGCTTGGTATTTGTAGGGATGCAGCAAGCCACAGAATACAGAACCTACACTCAGACCTGATGTTAAGGTAAACATCACCCACAATTCATACCACCACCTCTTTTTGGATATACAGATCTCACTCAGACATCCATTCCTATCTATTACATGAGAAGCAGTTAGAAAACAAATAGGTTTTTTTACCAAAATGAAATTTTGGTTTTTTTTTGGTTTAATTCTATTAGAGGACTTTGAAGGATGACATTTCCATGTGCACTTTTATTCATTTTCAGATAAAAGATTTATAAATATAAAGCTTAATTTACCTGATTCAATTTTATTGAGTATTTTCCTTGCACACTGTACAAAGGCCTCTTCCACATTTTCCCCCGTTAGAGCACTTGTTTCCAAGAACATCAGCTCTGCATTTGACACCAAAAAAAAAACATCCTCAAAACAAGTCTGGAATAGCAGGTATAGTAATTCAAAGTATGAAAGCCAGGAACAATAAGAATATTTTTACAGAGATCTACAAAAATCATGGTCCAGATAAACTAACTTTTGATTAGTTCCTTTAAAAACCACAAAAAACATCCTCTAAAATTTATTCAGAGACCCTAGAAAGCTGTAATCCAAAGATAACCCGGGTTATGCTAGCAAAACTGTACTTGAAACCAAACTTCATACAGTTTCCCATTAATGGAGGTTACATGCAAAAGCATAGCCAGTAACCAGAGTTGGTAGAAAAGACTTTGATTGATAAAAGCAAAACCAGGTTTTGCTGATGGTAGGACTGCAGCACAGAAACTCAGACCAAGCATGGCTTTAGCTGACACAGAATTGTGTCCTTAGACTGGCAATTCTGAATGCTGCACACCAAGTAATAATTTTCTGGACTCATGCCATGCACTGAACTCAGTTTTCAATGAGTAGAACTCATTGCTTCAAACTGCAGCACACCCCATACAACTTTGTCTGTTATCTACAGAGTCTTTAAGATGCTGAAAAATGGGAATTCATGTCCTTCATTTTCTCCTCAGCTGTTTGGAGGCAAGGCAATACCTGAAGTTGTATTACATTTCCTACAGAATGTATCTCCATATAGAGGGTATTCTTAAAGAAGCAGCTGTGAGTGGAAGAACCACTGCTAATGAGACTTAAGTAGTACATGTATTTTTCACTGCAGGCCTATTTTTCACCGCCTCTCTAGGCCTCAGGTACTGACAGAACTCTTTTCTGTAGACAGGGTACAAAGTACAGGCTAACTACATAAAAATGTAAATGATCTGAAAGATTATCCATCTTTGAATGCTACATGAAGCTTCTGTACTTACCATTTTCCTGTGCAAACCGGGATGCTTCTAAAAAAGTGACTTCACGATCTGCATCAAGATCCTTTTTGTTTCCACACAGTATTATCACAATATTTTGACTTGCTAACATTCTTGCATCCGTCAACCAATTAGTAAGTGCATTGTAGGTTTCCCGGCTGTGCAGGACATGAAATCCTTTATTAGGACATACTCACTTCTCGTGAACAGCTCACCAAACCAAAATCAGACAGCAAATCTGTGTTTGTGGCAAACAAAATGCTGGTAGTCAGGCAAGGCACCTACACATCTCAGTGTGCCAGTGACGGACTGGGAAGAGTATCAAATTCCTTCATGAAACTATTTAAGACTATTGAATTTTTAAAAGTCAAAATAAAATTAATCACAATATGTAAACACACAATTATAAAATAATCACAATTATAAACACACAATTATAAATTGTAAAAATGTGTTAATGTGAAAAGCTAAAATTTTAAGCTGTTATCTAGTTTTGACCTTTTGTGCACGACATTTTGGGATAACAGAATGAGATACTGTTCCACTTGGAATTCAACTGATACTTAAATAACCAGTGGGATTGTACAAATTTACAAGGCTTGTGTAGATGTGCATGCCTGAACTTTCACACCGGTGTCAGGACCTACACTGCAGGCAGTCACCCTGCACACACCACTTGACATTGTAGCAAGCTTTCAAGCAGTAAGACTGACAGGTGACTCCAGCTGACCTAAAGCACGGACCACAGATTTCAAAGCCTGCTGAGAGAACCCTTCACTCACAGAACACCAAGAAACAACCTAGTGAACCACCATTAACCAACCCAAAACTTATCTGACAAGTATCAGTCAATAGCAGCAGGAAGAATGTGAACACGTGTAATGGTAAGGAGTTTTATTGGCTGCCTATAATATTAAAACATTATAAGATGCAGAGATGAACAGAATTTTGGCCTACAGTTAAAGAATGTGTAGGCAGAGCTAGATTCTCCAGAGGATGACCATCTACCCCAGCACACTCAAGCAGTTTCCACAAGAAAGGGTGCATCACCTTGGTTAAGAGTGGCTGAAGTCCGCTCTTGTTTCTGTGGCAGGGCTTGCTGAGCCAGTGGCTGCATGTAGTTCACCATTACTAGATCAGTGACTTGGGGGGGCCAATCCCCACAATCTGTGTAACCCTTTAGGATTGTTCACATCTGACACCACAATATCTCATGTAAGCAAGTTCCAAAGCTTAAATATGCACTGAAACAGAAGTACTTCTTACACTTTCTTTTCTTCCTGCCCAGTCTTGATTAGAGCATCAGGTACTTGGGGAGGAATCATTGTGCATTAATTGGATCTGGCAGTCTATGAGCAAAAGAGCTGCTGGCCTTCTTACCTGGTTATATCATAGACAAGCAAAGCACCTGCAGCCCCTCTGTAGTAACTCCTTGTTACAGACCTGAAATAGAATCACATTTATAAATACACATTTCTGTATTTATACACATTTAATAATTTATACACATTTACAAATACACATTTCTGTGGTGCCTTCATTGTTTAAAATCTGCATTAATATAACACAATCTGTACTATGAAACAGAATTCTTATTTACATATTTAAAACAAAACATGTTTTTTAGACAATGTTATCAGCTGTGCAGCAGCAGACTAATTACAACCAGGATTTTGATTAAGCACTTTGATTAAATTTATCTGTATTTATCTGTAATGAGAGTCCATTATGTTCCACGTGGCGCTGAAGGTATACAAATCATCATAATACATGACCAGATACAGAACTGGAGGCTGATATCTGGCCAACACACTGAAGAGATCTCGTTAATGAAGACTATATATCACAGCCCAGCTTTATTTAGTCAGAAGTATATCCAAAGGACTTGTCTGATAGAAGACATTTACCTGGGTTGCTGCCCGATACTCAGACTTCTACCATCACACTCACCTTTGTTAACCAACCCCTCTCCCAAAACAAAGAGACCTCAGACACACGCTCCATTCCCCCCAAAATATATTTTAAAAATGGATGTCCTATTTGATGATGAATGTACCCAGGAATCCATTACATTTTTTCTACGTTTTATCTATTCCTCAGATGTAGAACACTTAAAATACAGCATTAAAAGAGCACTGATTGTTATAAGCTAACAAATTGTTTTTTCTCTAAGAAACTTAAGATATCTTAGTCTTTCTAGTAATGTATTCACCCCAACGAATTTGACTGATTTTCTTCTTCTCTAATAAAACTGTATAAAATTATACTGTGCAATTGCTTTCATCCAGATTTTGAACAGCTTACAGCTTCCTGACATTTACTTATTCCAACCAATAGAAGGTCTCCTAAACAGAGTTAAGAGCATACTCTTAGTTAAAATAGTTAATTATGAATTTGGCTGGTGAGCAAGATTTTAGCCACCTATTGCACTCATATACCTTACCAGAAAATACCCAATGAAAGAAAGGGCAGAAATTCAGACCTTGCAAGGCAGCACTGCTCTACTGAAATTGATGGATTTGTATCACTGTGTCCAGGCTGGAAGGTTAATATGAAAGCAAACAATTCCACTGACCAAAAAGCTTTGCCTGCTTACAAGCAGAGATAAATAATATCCACCACTCACAGCAGCAATTGTAATAACACTTAATAAAATGGCTGAAAAGCGTACCTGAACCGCTCTTGTCCTGCTGTATCCCATATCTGCAATTTTACATATTTACCACCAACATTTATGATCTTTGAACCGAATTCCACTCCTATAGTATGATTTGAGTCATCTTTGACTACGAAAAAAGAAAGAAAACAAAACCTATTTGAAGAATATTTAGTGAATAGTTTTTACAAAAACCAATTTAGATATTATCAAAAACTCCTCTGTGTTCAAATTACAAACTTCCTGAACCACCAAATTCAGTGCAGCTCATAAGCTCACTGCCACCACACAGAAATGAATGTTCTTACAATTTTTGACAGTTTAGTCAATTCAAACTCACTACTAGAAAGGCCTGCTTTAAATAATTTCCAGTTCACTTTAATAAGTAGCAAGATACTTTTTGAACACTTTTTTCCAGCTGCATTTTCTAATACTTTGATGCCTTTAAAATTAAAATTAATGAGAATGCACAGTCTTGACCATGAATATGCAAGAGCCAATTCTTTTTAAATGCACAAAGTTAAGATACTTGCTCTATGTATGCTGTTGATACCACAGAATCTCAGCAATTTACAGCTGCCCTTAGTAGAAGCAAGGGCTTGTTTCAAGTTCACTCAGAATCAAGCCGTGCCCTTTAGTGCTTACGCATCATAATCCTTAAGTATTCCTCAAGAGATAAGGTGAACTACTGTTTGGTTGAGAAAGACAACAGTCACCTTAGATTTACAAGGGTTTCTAAATGCATACTATTTTTGTTTAATCTTGATGCCAAATGTAAAATCCAACAGAATTTTTTCTTTTATGTTATCTGTTCATCTCTGAATAACTTTCACAACCGAATCTCTATCAATATTTACCACAGACCACAGTCCTTAACAAAGAAAACAGAGTTACTATTTATTTTGCAAGATGCTACAGGCTTTCTAAATATACTCAAGCAATTCAGCTTTTCTTTCATTATTTTTTCTACAAGATCCAAGTCTGTACTATATATCCAGGGAATCTTGCAGCTGCAAATTATACTTCTCACAGAAAGTAAGTCTGTATTTTCACCAACATCTTGTTGTATTTGTTTGAGAATAACAGAAAGTAACGCTCCATATTAGGTTTTAGATTAAAGACAAATTGTGAGCAATAAGAATTTACAGCACAGTTCTGAACATAATTCTTTACTAAAATCCTCACCTACACAAAAAGAGAATTAGGGGAGCTTCCCTATCAATGGTAGGTACTAATGTAGGCAGAGCCTTTACCTCTGGTACAAGGCAGTGGAGAACTCTTACTGTTCTTCATATGTACTTACATTTCTTTTCAATAAATTGGTGTAGCAAACAGGATTTTCCAGTTCCAGCATTTCCTATCACCAAGAACTTAAACAGAAAATCTGAAGATTGAAAGAAAAAGAAATTGCCAATTTTTAGTATGGACTCACACTTTTGTTACAAGACCAAAACAACAAGCCAGCTATTCTCTTGTAAGCTGTTACTTCAAAGAGAAGGGAATAGATGACAAAATTAGCAAAATAGCAATACATCTGAAGAATCATCCAGTGTCTGCAATAGTGATGTTACACACCAAGAACTAAGAATTCTTCTTTCTGGAGAGGCAAGAAAGACACAACACAGCAGAAACAGCTGAATCTGAGTTCAGTTAAAATAGGCTCAATCACAGGTAAATGGCTGGCTTGTATTCCAATAATGTGTTTTAAGACCGTGTAAAGTATTAACTATAGTCAACACAGTCAAATATAATGATATAATTTCTCAAAATCTAAAACTCCAGAGAGGGGTAGTTGTGGTTGTTTTTTTTTTTGTTTTTTTTTTGTTTGTTTGTTTGTTTGTTTGTTTGTTTGTTTGTTTGTTTGTTTGTTTGTTTGTTTGTTTGTTTGTTTGTTTGTTTGTTTGTTTGTTTGTTTGTTTGTTTGTTTGTTTGTTTGGTTTTTTTGGGGAGTTTTGTGGGTTTTTTTTTGTTTGTTTTGTTTTGTTTTTAATTTACATTAATTTGAAAATCTCTATTAACAGTTTAATACTCATACTTTGTTTTTAATCCTTGTACAGCTGAGACAACCACAGTATTTCTCTGCAAAATTTAGAGGGAAGAAATAATTTTTATTCTGGGATGTCTAGTTTCACATTTCTTCCACATGTTAAATTAATATACATGTATTTCTGTTACCTGTTTATGACCCATTTATATCAATGTTCATTGATAATACCCATGTTCAAGATTTATGGCCCATTTCTATTGTTTCAGCAGTTACATAAAATGCTTTAATGCTACCACCACAAATCTGCTTTCAGTTTTGCTGAAGACTGAAGAAAGCTTCCCTGTCTTGCAGCTCTCAAAAATGATAAACTGATTAGAAAGCTTACAACTGCTTTTCCTAATATACTGCCACCAAGGCAACGTTTACAGCTCATGCAAGATTCCCTATTTATTTTTCTACTAGGAGCAGAATTTTTACTCTTTATTGCATTGTTTCTCTAAGAAACAGAATGCAAAGAAAATTACTTAGTTTGTAATATCAACAACAATAAAAACATTAATTTTGTTAAGACTGTTCAAAGCTGTCAAGTGGGCTACATGAGTCTTGGCCCAGGGAATGGCTGAATAAAAACAAAACTAAATTATGCTAAGTAAGTCAAAGAACTGATACAATCCTCTACCAGGACCTCATTTGAGTACTTAGTTACAAAACTGAATTTAAGATGCACACAGATCTATGTGCTCATTCCATTTCATGGAAGAGTTACCTTGTTATGGTATATCAAACACTCCCTAGCAATGGTAAAAGGAACAAGCAAGTTTCTCAAAGGCTAAGAAGATTCCCACTGTTAAAAAGACACGGTTATGAGTCCTGGAAATGTCTACTGTTCTTCAACTTCACCTGCCTTCTGGATTTTATTTATATTTAAAATGAGGTAATGTTTTACTAAAGATTTTTGCTTTATTACATTTTGCCCTTCTTGTTTCAAATGCTGTAACAGGCTAAGAATAGATTCTGAATTTTACCCATCTCAGAAGGTGGCTGTTTCTTGCTCACAAATATGACCATTTACATGCTCAAGATTTTCTGTTCCAAAAATCCTCTCATTCGTCACGCCCCCACCCAGCTGCTCATGCTGTCTGGATTAAAAAAAAAAAAAAAGTTACAAAAAGGATTTTCCTTCAGGTTGTGAAAATTTTGTTAACTCCTCTAAAGAAGGGCCCTTCATGTGATCTCAACTGCGAAACACGCTGAAGCTGAGAACCCTTCACTGTTAGCATGAAATGTAGGTATCATAAATAGCCCAAAGTGTTAGGTTAAGAAAAAATGCATCTCAAAGAAAGCCAAGTTTCAAGTTTTATGGATCAAATATCACTGGTTAGCTGCCTTTTACACCATTTTGTATATTTAAACTATTGCGTGTGAGTGTGCGTGTGTATAATATCACTGGTTTTAGAACTTTCAGAGTACCTCAAAATGCAAGATATGCTGAGACACAGACATATTTAAAATAATCTGTTTCTGATTCCGTCATTTTTCAAAACATAAACCTGAAATCAAATCAAAACTGGTTCTACTTTGTACCTGGTGAATGCTGTTTGTCAGATTTTCTCCTTAAAAACAGTTATAAAATTTATGTTTACCTTTCTTTTTCTCCAATGGAAGACTCGTGTTATTGACAGTAGTACAACAGCTACTGCAAACCTAAACCAGGGAAAGACTGAAACCAAAACTCTATTCCCCCACTAATTTGCACAATAACTGCAAGCACTGGTTGTCAGACGTGGATCAGGAAGGTGTATTTGTGCAGCCCACAAACCCACTGAGCAGCAAATTCAGCACACTGCTCCCTTCTGCACAGACGGGCCGCAGGCCAGTCAGGCCTTGGGACAGCCATGTCACTGCCAGGCACTGACCTGGAGGAGCATCAGAACAGCAGTGTGTTTTTCCCTGAGGTGTTTTAAGCTGAGGTGCTTTATATTTTGCTCTGAAAGCAACAGTGCTATTTGGGGATTTTATATTAATATCTTTAAGTTGATAATATCTTTTAGCAGCACTTCAGAACAGACTCCTAATTCCTATCCAGATTCTACTGTGCCAGACATTTAATTTAAAAGAGAGACTCTCCTACAAATAAATCACTTAGATGCCAGTTCAATGCCTGCTTACTTAGTAGATAAAAAATAAATTTCCATCTGACAAAATAGCAAATGGGCTTTTTAAGATGAAACTTGAAAACTAGTCATAATTCACTTTTTCCACAGTGTGAAAATAAGAGAAATGTGTTTTATTCCACCAAACTGAGAGAAATGTGCTTTAGTTCACTTCATAAAATGAAAATGTCAGCCTTCTAACAAAAAATTTAAAACCTTTCTGCACCAAAGGCAGCAATGTTTCCAAAAACATGTAGACTTAAAGACACTGATACCTTCACACATATAACCATGCTTCTATCCTTTTAAACTCTAATTTTATGTAAATTATTCAGACTAACAAAAAGCTTTTAGACTTATGTTATCAGTTTATCCATGGGCACTGGATAACATGGTTCAGGAAATATGGAATACTCTGCACATTTAATCAATTGCAAAGAATGACAAGAAAAAGGCTTTGCCAAAACCAAATGTTAAAAATACCAAGATTTAACAAACTTTCAAGTTCACAAGCCAGCCTATTAACAAATAAGGTAATACCAGGTAAGAACAGGGAGAACATTCTTCATCTTGTTATTCTGCAACTTCTTTCTTATAAAGTCATTCTGTATGACAACTGGTACCACATCAACTATATTTTTATTACTTACTTTAGCACATGATTTAGAATATGAAATGTTTTCTCTTTAAGCTATACATGTATGTAAAATTTAGCACAGTTTTGAAGTACAGAAATCAAATGAGATTGGGCAGACAGCTTATTTTAGACCATCACTGTGGTCTCAAACTTTATATATTTATTCTTGGCAATTTCAGCAAAGCAACTCGCATTCTAGTGTTTGTACTACTGCTTAATTGCTCTAGTTTTTCTTTCTGGTGTCCTCTTCCCAGAGGAGTTAGCTTACTTCATTTCATAGCTTTTTTTATCTCCTTTTTTTTTTTTCCTATTGACAAAGCAGCTCAGAGCTCCAGCATTCCAGTCAGCTGCCAACGCTGTCACCCTAGAGAAACTTTTCTTTTGAATTCTGTTGCTCCTCCTTCATAGAAAAGCTGAAAAGCAACAGCATTCAGATGTTACAAATGCTTGCTGCCATGCTGGCAACTGAAAAGGTCTGTTTTTAACAGAAAAGTTAAAGCACTTCACCTTTAAATAAGATTGTCTTTATACAGAAGGGATTTAGGATCAAAACTGAACTCTGTGCTAAAGGGAAGAAAGGTTACAAAACATGCACTACAGAAATCATAAGGAGATGAAATGCAGCATAGCATGGCTGTTTAAGGAAATAAGGTATTATAAAGAATCAGCTTATTCCCCTCTGAGTGCTACATGCATCACCTGATCCCAAACAGGGTAGGGGGTGCAGGAAATAAAACATTTCCTAGCACAGGCAAAAAGGAATAAAATTGTGGCTTCACCCTAAAGATGCACCAGCAGCACAAGCTGTTAAACTACATAAATTACATAATGTCTTTTGTGTTTGTTTTTTTTTCTTTTGGGGGTGGTGGTGCAGTGTGAGCTGAGGGGAAAGGAGAAGAGAGACAATTGTGGGCTTTGACTCAAGAACCAGCAAAAACAGATGGTTGGTGTGGCAACCACCCCCAGACATCCAACCTCCTCCTTTGACTGAAGTCTGCTCCAGCAGAAGAAAGAGTAAAACAGCTTCTGAGATGCTGTAGCTTAGTCCTTAGAATGCAGTGAGAATTAAATTGTTTCCTTCACGTTGCTAATACAGTAGGGTAGGGGGGAGACCAAAATTATATCCCCATTCTCAGTTTGAACTCCTTGCTATAGAGTAGAATTTATATTCACTAATGTGGACCCTTCGGAAACTCTCTCATTCACGGCAGAGGGCAGGAGGAAAGAGAGCTCTGAAGCATTCCTACTGGCACATGCTGCCTCTAAATGAAAGGAGGAGCTATTCCCATTGCTTACTCCTTTCTCCAGCAGAAAGTTAACAAGATAAACAGGTAGAACAGATCAACCTGGCTCTATTCCAATCTGCAAAAAGAATGCTTCAGAGAGGGAAGTTCTGCTTTCTCACAAGTGAAAGAGCTATGCTCTCTAAGAAACAAAATCAGATTTGAAACAAACTGAAGACCAGGGTGATAAATGCAAATACCATCAGGTAAATGGCATGGGATGGGATGCCAAGAAAAGGACAAATCAAATTGTCCAGACCAAAAAGAATTATTTTCAAATGGATGGAAAGACTATACATTCTCTGCCAGTGACAGAGATTGGTAAACTTATGTGACCAGACTGGGATTTGTAGATGCTGGTGGAAAAAAATACCAGGAACTAAGGAATTAAGAGATTTTACTTGAATCTTACACATTGCATTTATTCAATGCTAGTACAACTTCCATCCTTCTACCATTTAAAATCCAAAGGTTGCTTTGTATTTATTTATTAAGAATAAGCCACTTTCTGTCAGGCTGTCTTTACCACAAACACATGTATATTTTGCACTGGGAAGCAAGCTAAAACATGCATGTGTTGTTATATGGCAATTATCTACAGAAAGGCCATTACATCTCAGAAAACTTGAGTTAAAAGAGTTTTCCTATGAATAAGAGATCTGTTTACAATGTTAAATGTCAAACTTCTAAAATAATAACCCTTTTCTCCCAAAAGCAGCAGGAAAATGTTCTTTCTAAACCCAGTTTCAAAATCGTTATCTTGTATTCATGTTTGGTTTGGTTTTGTCACTTTTGGCACTTTGTATGGGAATAAATTGAACACATAACAATTGAATAGACACTGAATTGAACACATAAATAATTGAACAGATAAGAAAGCTAAGAACAGAAGATACACAACTTATGTAAGAGATCTGCAGGAGTGAAAATATGAATTATAAGCAATATTTCGTGTCAAGACTGAGAAGCTGCAGAACTTTGTTTGAAAAGAAGGGAGAAGAATCTCAATAATTGACAGAACAAGTTGTGAAGAGTGAGTGAACAGAAAACCTTCAAAGAAGACAGAATTTGACATGGAGGAAGAAACTAAGGGAGGAAAAAACCCAGGAGACATGAAATTAACAGTGGTGGCCAGTGGAAAGGCTCTTTATTCCCTGCAGATTGAGAAAAATATTGAACCCCCGCCGCCCCCGCTTTCAACAGAAAGAGAAGTTGAAACCTCACAACAAAATTAAAGTCATATAAAAGACAGACAGCAAAGTGACATTGGGAAGAAAAACACCAACCCAACAACCAATGAGTTTTCTGAGCCTATCTGTATGGGATAAAAAGCTTGAGGTTACGTAATTAGAATGGGTCATAATTCAGGTGACAAGAAAAATCTAATTCATGACTTAAGGATTCATACGCTACAGAGATTCTAGGAGGGGGATACAGTGACCCCTAGTCTCAGTCACCAAGAGAAAACTGACCTAATACTTCTCCCATCCTCCATGGCCATTGTAACATCTGGTCAGCAACAAACCTCTCTTTGTTAGGACAGTGAGCACATTAAATCCAGAGAGATCATCAAGCACAGAAGATCCATAATTTAATCACATGGTACTGCTAACTTTGATTTGTCAATGGGGCTGCTACATATGTGGACAAGGCACTGCAAAAGTAGTTCCTGACTACTGTTATGGTCAGAGATTGTAGAGCCATTAGTTAAACTTTATGCTACAACTTAGCTTTTATTCTTCTGTGTTCTCTAGAACTCGATACTCTCAAGCCTTCTAGCTCTGAATTTTCTGTAGCCTGTGTGTGCATAGGACAAACATGGAAACTCCAAAAGGTAATATACCGAACAAGAACTAAACAAACAACAGGAACAACCCACAACTACAAAGCTTCCATTTCAATGACTTGTTTTCTCGGATACCAAAATAATACGAAAGTATCAACAGCTCCAGTGGGCTTACTATCCCTTTTCTGCATCACTGCAACAATGCAAAAAATGTTTCAATGTTCTGGTTTAAGATACCAATCAATCATCTACTTGGCTTACCTAGTATTACAGCATGAAAGGAGAAGCACCACTGAAATGCTGTCATCTCTGGTTTTCTACCAACTCTTTTGCTCAAAGACCACCATAGGCACAGCCAAAGTGATCCCAGTTCTAGCTCACAGGAGTACAGCGCATGAAGAACTTGTTTAAACTCAAATCTAGGTGGACAAAGCACACCCCTCTGGTTTCTACATGTAACTTTTACATATTTCTAGAACAGAGGGACAAAAGAAGCAGGGCTTGAGAATCCTAATGTTGGCACTTCAAGGGCTGTCCCACACTCTTGCCTCTTTTGCCCTTAGTTCTGTGCACTTGCTGTACATCGAAGCACTGACCAGCAGGACAGAACATTGAGCACTGATGACTACAGTATTGAAAATAAAATGACTTACACAGTAGAAACAATCAGGTCACTTGACCTACTCCTGATTGGACACCCAGCCTCCAAAACGGTTTCCAGAGTCGTTGTGTCCAATTTTGCTTTGATTACTCAATTATTCCCTATTCAATTCTGATCCTACTCTCATGGACTAGGAATATGAACCTACCACATGGCTTTAGAATATATTTATATGTCCAACGGCATCTTTATACTGGAAAATATTACAGAACTGTATGGTATGGAAAGGATAGAAAAGAAATCTATTCAAAGCAGAGATTCAAGTAAAATTATAAAGAAAATAAATTAATACTATTCAGTTGCTGCTCATCTTCTCCACCTAGCCAGCAATACCAGCTCTGCTTGCCTCTTTGACTCCTCACTTCTCTTTGATGCTTCCCAGCGACGCACTGGACACGCCCTGTCAGTGCCTGCACTCCGACTTACTCCATCGGATGTTTTCCTACCAGTAGCAGTCAGACAGCCGTGCCAACACAGGGACATACTAACATACCCACTGATCTTTCCCCTCCAACCCACTGTCACAGTCACCTCTTTCTGACGCCTGCACGTCTAAGACACCAGGACCGAAATCTTAACTTGATCACAGAAGCACCCGCGATCTCCAAGTAAAGGAAGAGGCAGCTTTTCCCAGCAGACATGCACTGCAAGTTTCCTGCTGGACTCCCGGCACCACAACAAGCAGCGCCCAAGCCGCTCCCTGAAGGATAACTCGGAGCGCTCCTGCGGGCCGGCCGGGAGCCACGGGCGGGGCAGGCGCTGGGGACTCAGGGCAGCGTCGGGCAGAGGGACCCGCCCGAGCCGGGGGAGCCCTCACGTCATACCGGCTCCTTCCCCGCTCCTCAGGGGGCACTGCCCGGCCCCGGGCCCGCTCCCCCGGAAGGGAGAAGGGAGACGGAGAGGGGGATCCCCTCACCCCGTCCCCGGATCCTACCGTAGGTCTCGGACATGGCACTCTGCGACATCCCGGGAGGGGTGACCCCCGCCGCCGCTGCTCGCTCCCCGCCCCGCCCGGGGTCGGCGCTGACGGCGGACGGAACCGAAGAGGCCCCGCCGCCCGGGCCCGCCCCGCGCAGCCCAGCCCAGCCCC